ATTTAATACATTTCCATGAGACTCGTATTCGTATTAATATTATCATTTTTGGCTTGTTAGCAGCCTGTCAGTCTCAGTGCAGTCGTAGTTGCTATGGCCAAACAGTTGTCTGGCAACAGAAACACAGTCAGGTCAATGAAAGCACCTGTGCTTTGTTCTGGCTTTCATTCAAACTCATAATGAATCGTAACAAATGGTTTGTCAGGTTTATTAATTATCGTCCTAATAGGAAGAATTACGTCTGTTTCTTTTACTTCAGTAATAAAAACCAAGCTTTCTCGTACTATATAAGAACCTGAAAAGAATGCACAGCGTGATTTCAGAGCTATTTTCCTAATGGATATAATAGGGCCTGCTTACCACAGCCTTTTTCTTGAGCTGCTTTCGTCTCCATCCATTTATGATTAAATTATAACCCTGGGCAGTTAACAAAGGACACATAAAAACAAACAAGCCTTCCTAAGATAATATATTATTTACCATCCTCTATCTCTGTTCTAGCCTTGACCCATTTCTCAGTGCTTTCTGTCTGACAGTTCGACTTGGACAACAATCAATGTATGTTATTGTAACCACTCATGTTACATCATATTAGGTAATTTGCATATTTAAACAACAAGTAATTATTTAAAATTGCATGACAAAAAATTGCATGGTGGGATGACAGGTGTTTACTTTAATTACACAAATATTATGTAGAAGTAGTAATGTTTAATAGGCATTGATCTGTAAATAACTGGATATGAGTAACTTTAGCCTATTATATTATATCAGAATAATTATAAGAAACTTAGTTTTAAATAGCATTAATAACACTTTGACCTTCAGATCAATCTTTTGAACTCAAAGAAGAGGTCAGAGGTTTTATACGGTGCTTTTTATATGTTGACAGTACACACCACATTTCTTTTAATGTTTAAGTTAGAAGGTTTTTAATCAATTTTCAACCAATAAATCATTGAGTTAAACTTGAAGACCTTGGTCGATGTAAACCAAATTTTCATGGATTGTTTATGTGACTCCATTCTACACCTCTACAAAGTTTTATCAGAATACATGTAAAGCGAGCTATTGTATTTATAGGCAGAATGACGCCTATGAATACAAATTCTACCAAAAACATTAAATCCTTGGTGGAGCTGAGATTTGCAAATCTAATAAACCAATATTTAATTTACAATAGAACATAGAAAACATATCAGTTTAAAACATTTTACTACTTCATGAAAAATGGTAGCTCATTTGGAGTTTGGTGACAGAAACATGTCTACACACCCCCAACTCTGGAACAAGGGGTAACGGAAAGCTGGAAAGGGAAACTGTGCTCAAAACAGCTGGAGGAACATTTTGCAGATGATTAGGTTAACTGGCAACAGGTCTGGTTAAGGCACCATCAGTGCTGAAAGTTATATACAGGTTTTAGAGCAGCATATACTCCAATCAAGACTGCTTTTTTCTTTAGGGAAATCCTTGCATATTTCAGCAAGACGCTGCTAAACTGAATAGTCCAACTGTTACAAGAGAATGGCTTTGTAGTAGATGAGTGCCGAACTTGCTTTGCGTTCATTCAAGAATACATCATGAAATAAAGAATTATGACAAAGAACACCCAGGACTGCTGAGCAGCAAAAAGAATGGGATAACATTCATCCTCCAACAGTCCAGCAAACTGGTCTGCTAAGTTCCCAGATGCTTACAAACTGTTGTTAACAGAAAAGAGGATTAAACATAATAGTAATCTTTTTTTTTAGGTATGTTGCCACCATCAAATTTAAGTGAGCTCATATTTTTTAAATTTACAAATTTCATATGCTTTCTGTGTTTGTTGTGAATGATATATGGGTTCATAAGATTTGCATATCATTACATTTTGTGTTTATTTTACACATCATCCCAACTTTTTTGGAATTGGGGTTGCAAATAACATCAGAGTAGTCCCGGTCTCTTCTTGCCTTTTCCCCTAAGGCAGGCTTCATCAGGCTTGTTAACATCTGTCTTGTTCTGCTGTGTACGACATGGAGGAAACGAGAGATGAGCTATACAAAGAACACAATGAACCTCTCTGTCCTCAGTCGAACAAATGGAAATTGACAACCTTTTAAATGTACCAAGGTGAGCTAGTACTAGCATAAAAGTCATTATTCGCAAGAATAAATCAAATAAATAAAGTGCTTAATTTCTGTTAATTTTATTTGACCACAAATCTCAAGTGGTTTGTATGTAAACTTGAAGCGGTCAGTCATTTTCATTATGTCATTTCTACTTATGTGTCACATTAACAAAACAACTTTTTATCGATAGAGCGTTGGGCTCTGGTGCAACTGATTGAATTAAGGTAACAAATCCAGCAGCCAGCAGTCAGTCTTCTCAGAAGCAATAAACTCCTACTTGTTGAATGATAAAAACAAATAACAAAAGCTGCGTGTGTTATTCGGTTTGGTATCAAACCATACACTAAGAAGGATTAAAAGCCTCTTTTGATCATCAGATTGAAAACAGAATCAAACCTTTATATATCAGTCGGTGGTCTAGCCTGTGTGAAACAACACTGCCTGTTGTTCATTGTCATTTTGTTTCCACTGTTGGTACTTTTTATTATTTCCCCTTGGATATTGATTTTTTTCTCCCCCTTTCTTTTGAACTTGCAGGGCTAGTGAGCGCACCTCTGCTTTTTCCTGCTGTTTCCTGTCAAAAGTGTTTTAAAGTAAACACACCTGTACACACAAGACACACTACATTTACGCTTTCATAAAAGATGCTGTGTGTCTCCACACATGCACACGCACACTCGCTGGGTTGGAGGAATTCATTAGCAAATATATGAGGTCAGCCAATGAACAGAAGTTCACATATTTAGAAAATGGGCCCTGCAGGAGCACAAGTGTTGTGTGCCTCATCTTCACTTAAGGCTGATGACACATCAGCGGTGCTGTGCTCCACTGAGCTCTGGAAAGGGTTGTGTTGACATTCTTCCTAAACGCACTGCTGAAACGCGCTCCGAGCCACAAGTCAAAGCATCAACTGTCATTGTCTCTCATTTTAAATTTCACAACATCTTTCGCTTGCAGCTTTGACCTGTAAAGCTGAGCCATTTTGAGTTGCATTTCTTTGGCGAAAACAAACGGGTCTGTTTTTTTTTGTTGTTTTTCATTATACATTCCAGAAATGCAGCTACGCAGTTACAGCCTACAGTGAAACAAAGTGGCGAGACGCAGAAAAAGAGCTCCAAAATAAGACTGTGACATGTGATTAAAAGTAATGCGAAAAAGGAAGTAAACCTTGAAATAGGATTGATTCATGTATTTTTTAGTGTTGAATGGATGATCACTCGAGTTTTGCTGTGTGTTCTGGCGTGTAAGAATAACAGAAAGGTTGGCTGCATTTTACACTGAATATGTGGTGTCCACTTTTTTTTTTTTTTTGTCCCTCCTGGAGTTGGGTTGTGGAGCCTTCTGGCTTGACCTTGAAGACGATCACCCTGAAATGACAGCAAGATAGTGCAGCCTTTGCTGGCCTGCTGGGCCACCCCCTGGTGCTTTTCTGCATGATGTTACCCTGTGTCCTTATTTATTGTTCTTTAATGCACTACATGCACTTCTGCGGTTATGTGTGTTTCTGAAACAATGCTTTATTGGCGTGTATCATTTGCATACAGTATACAGTGCCGTGAAAAAGCATTTGCTGCCTTTCTGATTTTGTACTTTTTGTATATATGTCACATTTAAAAGTTTTAGATCCACAACATATTTTAATAATAGATAAATATAACCCGAAGAAATACAAAGTGCTGTTTTTAAATGGTGATTTTATGTTTTGAGGGAAAAAAATATTCAACCCTCTAGTGTGTCTGAATTAAAACACTTGTGCAAAGGAGAGTGGGCTGAAAACGTCTCCACAGCCTTGTGAAAGACTCATCGGTAGTTATCGTAAATGCTTGACGCTTGCAGTTCTTGCTGCCAAAGGTGGCAGAACCAGTTATTAGGTTAAAGTGATAAATGGTAAATGGACTGGTGCTTATATGCACTTTTCTACTCAATTTGAGCACTCGAAGTGCTTTCTTACTCCAAATCTCATTCACACGAATGCTTTTTTTTTCTATGCCTAAGCACTTTTAACTTTCACGCTCTCAGAGGCAACTTGGGGTTCTGCATCCTGCCCGAGGATACGTCAACATCCAGGTTCTAGGAGCCAACTTTATTTCAAAGAGTTTTTATTTATCTGGGTTAATTTTGCCAAATATGTGACAAATAGCCAGAAAAAAAGGAACAAATACGGTAGAGGGAGAAACACTGTTTCGCAGCACTGTAGATGTTGTAAATGCCTTTCTAATTTCAGAATTTGGTGCTACACTCAGCGCTTCATTTGTGATAAAATGCCCTAAAATCCAAAACAGTGTGCTTGTTTTTATGCCGTGCATACACTGGGGGCATTTGCATAAGCCTGAGGAGGGTGTTTATATTTGTATTCTCAAGCTGAGGGTTGGAAAATGACCTGTCTCCTGTGATTATATCCTTGGTAACTAGAAGTGACGAGGTAATTGTGAAATCTATTTAAAAGAATTGTAGCTTGCCTCTCTGTCTCTTTCTCATCCCCTTTTTATTTCTCTCTCTCGCTGCTGTTTTCAGGTCATTACTACATCGTTTTTCTACACCTACTCATCCCCGTCTTATCCATACAGCCATGTTGTCTCTTTGTTCATGGTCTATTTTCTTTGTTTGTCATTTTCCTCTTGTTTCCTTTCCTTGCTTACACCTTTTGTAAGGATGTATATGTCCTACATTCTTTATTCTGTTTCCTCTTCTGTCTTCAACTATGTGTGTTTATAGAAAAACCCTGCTTCAGATCGATCCTGTGATGTTGTTAAGATCAATAACACAGAGTGTCACAGCTCAAGCAGCAAAGACTGATGGACGATTTCTGCTCGCCGTATGCTTTGAACATGTTGGCATTTAGTTTTCTCGCTCAGTCCCTTTTCTCTCACTCTCTGCTCTCACACACAGTGGCGTCCGTTCCTGCCTGGTCTGAAATATGAAGTGATAGACTCGGCCTACATCTCCCTCTACACAGGTAAGAGCAATTCATCAAATTTGTGTCATCTTGTCGTGGAATCTAATAAATTTCATGATGAATTTTTTGTATTTATTGGCATTTACACACTGGACTTTGTTAATAGAAAATCTGCTGAAAATGCTCAGCTGAGAGCTTGACAAAAGGAAAGGCTCAATCATGCCTATTTAAACCAAAATGTTCTTCTGTGGGTTCACTGCAGATGTCAGTTTGAGAACGCAGCATGTATTCCCTACGTGCGGCTAAAGAGAAGTTTCAGGATCTAATAGATGATCTATTTTCTTCCATAGGTGTCATTCTTAGCAGAAATGAGAACACTATCTCCAGAGTAGATGTCTAACCTTTATAGCTCCAAGAATAGTAATGTGTCACAAAGATTCAGCATCGTTAACAGGGGGAAATGCCAGCTGCACAGAAAATGATGTGTGGAGTTGTCATCTTGGGCAAAGCTGCAGTGTTATGTGGATGCATGCCAAATCCTGTCTTCTTGTTTATGACAAGCTGTGACAGAGAGGAATGAAGCCTCGTACCATATATGAGGTCACCTGCTGGATTCGAGCATTACCATCTCCTCATCTGTCTCCCGTCCTCCACCCATCCATCCCTTCTCCTCCCTCATGTCACTCTGCCTCCCTCAGTTGTTTTTTCCATTCACTCACTCTGGAAATTATTTAATAATCCTTCCTGTTTGAGCAAAAACATGCATCTCTTTGCTCTGGGACACCAGTTAACGTTGTAGGACTTTGATTCTGCAATCAGTGTTGCATTGTATAAGTGGAATACTTGCACATAAATTTAGAGGTATTTTGTTATGTACCTGAAAAACTATCCCAAGCTATTTTTATGTCTTTCATTGTGCCACGCTTCCCTCTGCTCATGCAAGTGTTTTTCTGTCTATAGTTTCAAAGTAATTTCTTACTGGCACAACCTGAATTGGAAGCTCCATTTGTGTAATAATGCCACAGATTATGTTTCATAATTTAAGTGAAAAAACACCAAAGATGCAGTCAGCTTAGTTGCTATAAATGTGTAAAGTTAAACAAGCATTTTTTCTTTGGTTTCCTTTGTTTTTGTTGCAAAGATCCATCTCAATATCTCTGCTGCACATAAATGAATGCTGTGGTTTTGATGATAATACAAATATATGAAAAATGATGCAATTTTTTCACAGGAAGAAAAAGGGGTTCCATTATTTTGCTGATCAACGAGCCCATTAGTCAACATTTGCAAGACTTGTGTGTAGTAAAAACCAGCAGTGTGATCAACAGTTATCTTATTGTTTGGGAAAAAAAGAGAGAAAGATGGTGGACACAATTCACCCTCCTGAGGATAAAAATTATGCTGACCACCCTGTTAATTATAAAGCACTTCTCCCATCAGGCATTGCCACTGACATGCCATTAATCACGCGTGTGCTCTCCTCCTACCCTGTTATCGATTGGTATAATTATGACTCGGCTCTGTTCTGCTTTTGTTTGCTTCAACTTTTTTCTGATCCTTCACTTCAGCTTTTGTTAGGGTTCTCCTCCTCTTCCTCTGCTTCCTTTGTGCCATCTCCCCTCTGCTTCTCCTTCTGTCTCTTCCTTCCTCAGTCGCCACCTCGTCATAGATGGTAGCGATTTTGCTGTAATTGTGGCCCAAATCATATCTTCTTTTAAACATTAAATATCAAATTTGTCCATTGTGAGGAGCATAAAAAAGGAAATGAGATAAAGAGTCTTCCTCTTTTCCGCTGACTCTAACTTAATGTCTCTTCACTGCTTTTTTTCCAGATGAGTCCAATCTGAAGATGAACAGTGTGGACCACATCCCTCAGACCTTGGCCAGTCACATCCGTCTCCCAGAGGAGACACAGCCTCAGGGTCTGGAGGGAGGCCGTACCATCCTGCATGGAGCTGATATGCTGAAGCCGGATCCCAGGGACACCTTCTATAGCAGTAAATCTGCCGTTCATCATTTCAGGCTGTCCTCTTTCTCTGTCTTCATCCTGATTTTCTGGCCTGTCGTTTTCTCTAAATGCCTGATTGTCTGGCTCGATTGTCTGCAGTTGTCATCTTAGCTGTATTCAGACTGTAATTTCATCCAGTAGGCTGTGTTCCATTTTTTCTGGATTTTCCTGCTTTTTTTCATCACTCACCTATCTGACTCTTAGATTTTTATTTATTCATTTATTTAAGTGTTCTATACACACATTGGTTTGGCCTAGTTGTTGAATAACTGCCTGCCTCTTCCTCTTCCTGTCACTCTCTGTCTCTTCTCAGCCCCTATGATCGATCCCTCTCGACTGGAAAACGTTCTTCCGGCCTGTCTTTACTCTCCAACCTATGTAGTCAAAGATTTCCCCATTGCCAGATACCAGGGCCTGCAGTTCGTAAGTCACTTTCCATCTGGGTCACAAAAAGAGTGACGCTTTTGTTCGAATCAGCTTTTATTTTTCGACAGTCAGCTGTTGCTAAAAGTAGACTAGCGGGGTCATCAGAAATGTGACCAGATATGGTAGTGGCCCTTAAAAAGTATTCCCAGTGTAATATCCCGATCAACTGCGCAGCAAACAGAGAAACAGAGAAGCTACATCTGTGCTGATTTGGATATCGCCACTGCATCTCTCCCTTTGTGTCAAGCACAGCATGAACAAAGTAAGTGGAGGACAGTGTTGAGCACTGCTCCCCCCTTTAGGGCAGCACAGGTTACTGCAACATCTGCAAAGATGAACGATAACTGGTATGAGAGAGAGATGCAAGTTACACAGCAAATCCATTTCAGATTAGACAAGAATGACCTTAACAAAATGCAGCATTATATAAAGTGACTGGTTGTAATTAAACACTGTCACAAAGTGCACATAGTATAACCTAGCTTTTCCTCCTGTCACTGTTTTCTGGGGCGATTGCATTTTTGATTGACATGTCTCTGTTTATCAGGTCTATCTGTCTTTCGTCTACCCTAATGACTTCACGCGCCTCACCCACATGGAGCGAGAAAACAAGTGTTTCTACAGAGAGTCCCCTATCTACTTGGAGAAGTAAGGGCATTATTACTTTTATCTCTTAGGGAGGTATGGGAACATTTGTCTTTGTCTTGTATATATGAGCGCGTACACTGATTATGCAGAATAAGTGTTCAAGTGTCTGTGAATCTGATGGCAGTGATTCATGTGACCCCTCACTAAGAGATTAAGTGTATTATGCTGCAAGGCACATCGAAACTTCAACCTTCTGTTAATGCATGTGGCCATGTGTGTGTGTGTGTGCCTGTGCTGCCTCTTGTTTTGTCTGCCAGGTTTGGTTTCTACAAATATATGAAGATGGATGAGGAAGAAGATGACAGGCCGTTCTTCTTCCCGAACCCAGATGGTAACTAATAATGAGCAAACACATGCACCCACCTGCACACGTACAGACTCTCATTCAACTTTAAGTCTCTTTCGTGTCCCCAGATTTCCTAGAGGAGGAGGAGGTGGTAGATACAGAGGATGAGGCAGAGATTGTTGGCACACAGTCACCCAAGAAGCCCTCTTATCCAAGCCAGACCAGCCATACTTCAAATCCCTCCTATCGGCAATCAAAGTCTGAGCCCACACCAGCTGGCCGAGACAAGGAGAAAGAGAAGGAGGATCCTAATGATGAAGAAGATGAGGGCCCAGTCAACAGTATCATACAGCACAGAGAAAGGAGGCGTTTTCCTCGCAGAGACAGACAGATGGATAGGGATTTGGACAGAGACTGGGGGAGAGATCATACAAGGGAGAATATGAGAAAAGACACGGGGAAGAGACTTGAAAACATCGAAGCAAGGGTTCTTCAGCCTGATATCGAAAGCGTGGTTAGGGGTCGCTCTCTGTCCTGGGTCCACACTGATTCTGCAGAACTAGACCCTGCCAGGAAAGGCGGAGGAACAGGTGGCGGAGAAGACAGGGGAGTTGACACACGGACTAAACTCAGCAAGTCTTCTCTTCTCTTTCCCCAAAAGTCGTCCCTCTCTGCCCTTGCTAGCCGAGCCAGGCAGATCCTCAGCAACTCTGCACATGGCAACAACCTCCACGATAGGCTTCCCGGGAGCAAAAAAGAGAAGAGGGAGGAGAACAAGATCTACATCACCAGGCCCAAGCCTGCAAGGGAGAGAGAGAAGGAGAGGGAGCAGCGGCGAGAGAGGAGGGACGAGAGGGCATCTCGCCACCCTAGAGAGGTTTTCCCAGGAGTCTTTTTGTATCAGACTGGAAAGACCACCAGGCTGGTAAACCTGGGTGCCAGGAGACGTGGTGGGGGAGGCGTAACAGGAAGTAGGAGTCTGATTAGTGCGCCTCAGCTCTGGCCTAACCCCCCTATAAAAGAAGGTAAGGCTTCACCTCACAATGGAAGCACCAACACACACAATGAAAGTGTGGTAAAGTCTTCTAACAAGGCAACAGGGGCAAGACAGCCAGAGAAAAGCAAAAGCAAAGGAGAGCACCGGGATTTAAAGACTACTATCATGGCTGACCCACCCAGTAAAGAACACCACCTAATCGAACCGTCCTCTCACCGCGGTCCCCCTCATCCCTCTGTTACGCCACCAAGATTAAACTTTACAGACAACACAATCCAAGGTCAATCACGGGTTACTTCTTACCTGCGAACCTCAGAGATTACAGAGTCCCAGCAGCAGCCAGACCCCAACCCTCCAGATATCGACCAAGAAACAAACCACTCTAATCCTGATCCCGACCCCGAGCCAGAGCCAGAGGAGGGTGAAATGTCAGATTACAGCTACGAGGAGGTGGAGGCTCGGCCAGGTTGGGCAGAGGAGAGCATTAACTGGCAGAGGACTTTCTCAGTCAATCCGATGGACTTTGAGCTTCTGCGCTCTGACTGGAATGACTTGCGCTGTAATGTGTCTGGGAACCTGCAGCTAGCAGAGAGCGAGGTGGTGGACGTGCTGGCACAGTACATGGAGAAACTCAATGAGCGCAATGGGGGGTAAGCATGGCAAAATGAAATAAAACAGAGAAGGTCTATGTTTCCCTGCATCCTTGTTAGTTTAGGTGTGGTACTTATGCTAATCGTTATATAAAGCAAAAGGTAATTTTGCTGCAACATATTGCTCATGTCCTGGTGCTTTGAAGTCTTGCTCTCAGTCTTCAGTATGCTGATTACAATTTTCTTCAGTAGTTCTTGCAAAGCTCGATGTTATTTGTGTGAAGTAGCTTCTCTGTTGTTATTTTCATCATCCGTGCTAAATTCAATGTGCCACAGATAATGAGAATCAGCTTTTTTGAAGTGGTTTGTACACACAAACAATAATTAATCCACTTGTGCCAATGATGTAAAACGTTGTATTCTACATGTGCAACCTCTCTGTGTATTTTCAATATTTTCTGTCTGTCTGCCCTAGGATCTACACCCTGTTGCGAATTATCAACGTTGAAAAGCGGCGTGACTCGGCAAGAGGGAACCGGTACCTCGTGGAGCTGGAGCTTATGGAGAGAGGACGTAGCGTGGTACGCCTTTCAGAATACATTTACCTGCTGCTACACCGCAGCAAGCAGGGGGAGGAAAGTTTAGAGAACACAGACTCTGCCCCTGCCTCAGCACCGGCTTCGGCCCTCTCCACTGCCACTCCCAGCCTCACCACCCCACCGCCTCCTCCTCCTCCCACCAAGTCGTCTGGCCGAGCAGCAGCAACACCCTGGAGCACTGCATATGCTAAGCCCCTGCTATGCCAGCCAGTCATGCTCCAATGGAGGAAAGATGTCATGGTACACTTTGTGGTCCCAGGTGAGTCAAAAGTTAATCCAGGGCAGATTCAGCATCCTTCAGATGAATAATTTATTTGCCTATACTTTCTTTGTTTTCTCAACTTGCTGTCCTTTTGCCTTTGGTATTACTGTTCTTCAGTAAAAAACCAGGCTCGCTGGGTGCAGCAGTTCATCTCTGACATGGAAAATCTTCACCGGCAGACAAAAGATGACAATTTCAGCATCATCATTGTGGATTTTGAGAGCGAAGATATGGACGTGGAGCAGGCACTTCGAGAGAGCAGTGTGCCAAGGTGTGTGCATGCGACGCGAGGAGCTGTGTGCTGTGACTTTTAATATTTTGAAGGCTGCCGCGCTTTATATATATTTGTGTTTTGGCAGATATGAGTATCTTAGGAGAGAAGGCAACTTTGAGCGCTCGGCAGGACTGCAGATGGGAGTGGACACTATTGAGGTCAGTGAAACAAGCACACATAGAGAAGACGACAATATGTGAGCTGGCAGGCAAAAGCCACTCACTGAAGGTCAGACGCTTGCACAGACCACATGACCTTTACTGGCTGATGGACAGGCAGAAAGAACACTCATGCATAATGAATGCATCACAGCGAGGTTGGTCTGTCATGGACTGTGGATCTCGCCCTTATCTCCAAGCCTCCTACTGCCTTCCTTGGCTCTCTCGCACAGAGTCCAGCTGTGGCTGACAGGGAATTCCTTAGACAGATAGCCGCATATCCTCTGTCATATGTATGCCATAGCTGTCACATCCACTCCCTCTCACAGGTTATTTGTGTGCATGTGCCCTTACACCATTCTGTGGCTGTCTCTGTCTCGCACACATGCATACCCACCCATGGGAGAATGGAGCAGCTGGAAGTCTGGACAGACGTTGATCCGTCAGTTGACTGTCAGTGCTGTCATGGTGGGATGACAGGACTGTCACTCATATCTAAATGACCTATGGGCTGTTGACGTGACGACAACCCACTCATGCCGAGCACAGACCTAAAGAGAGCTTCTGCTCTCGTTAATCCTAAAAGCCCATGTAAAAAGCGGTAAAGCGCATGTGAACATCCGCTTGTCTTGCACCAGCTTACACACACAAAAATCAGACACTTCTTTTGCCCAGTTGAAGGAAGGATTTTGATATCATTTGGATGTAGCAAACATACTTGAGCATTTCTTTGCATTTTCTCCCACAGGACAGCCACAGCATCGTATTCCTGTGTGACCTGCACATCCATTTCCCTCTCAACATCTTGGAAAGCATCAGGAAGCACTGCGTGGAGGGACGCCTTGCTTTTGCTCCCATTGTCATGAGACTCAGCTGTGGTAGTTCACCACAGGAGCCTGATGGTAACACACAAAAAATACACGTGTTACATATTAACAAAGGCTTAGTTTGAAGGGGCACTGAAACTCATTCCCCAGTTACGGTGATATATGTGATTTTTATTTTATATGTGTAGTAAATACACTTTTTGAAGTACAATCATGTATAGGCATCAGATTTTCCTGTTGCTGCACCATCAAACTGTATGACTCAGTGCTTTTCTTTTGTCTCTAAGGTTACTGGGAGGTAAACGGCTTTGGTCTGTTTGGAATTTATAAATCAGATTTTGATAAAATTGGAGGGATGAACACAGAAGAGTTCAAAGACCGCTGGGGTGGAGAGGATTGGGAACTGTTGGACAGGTAGCTCTGCAACATAAACACTCTCAAAGCATGTATGACACAGAGTGAACAAACTAGTGGACATCTAATTTAACCTCAAAAGCTACGTAAAAGCAGTGCATGTTGTAAAAAATGTCCCTGTGTTTTGTAAAAGTTTATATTATTAGTGAAAGTGCAGCTCAGGAAGGGAGGATCACAAGAAGCTTTAAAAAGCTGAACATTTATGTTTATAGTGATCAGGAAATTATCTTTTAAATTGTAATTTTTCAATGTTAGTCCTTTAATCTGCGTTGTGGCAGAGGAAATTATAGCTGTAGCAATTTCAGAACTTGAGCTAAAGAAACCGAAGATTATTATGTATTCATGCGGTATCAGAATAACACAATTTTCTGACTTGGAAAAAAAAAAGACCTTACCTGACTTAAAAGAAGTAATTTAAAGCAAGGACACAGCTATCAACGTGTTGTTTAAACACTCAAGGTAATAAAATACAGCGTACCTTCATTCTAATGTTCATGTTGTTCATGTCCAAATTCTCATTTAGAAGTACACGAACACATGAAAATCAGGGTTATCAGCTTATATGCAGGGTTATCTTTTAGTGTAGAAGTGTATTTGCAATATGATCTGAGACAGAAAAAGAAACTTCTCTCTGTCTCTCTCGTTCGTTAGGGTCCTGCAGAACGGTTTGGAAGTAGAAAGACTACGCTTGAGGAACTTCTTTCACTACTACCACTCCAAGAGAGGCATGTGGAATGCCCAAAACAAAAAAACTCCCAAGGGATAGCGCAGCCTGTTGGTCAGAGGATCCTAAACCTACCTGCAGACCCACTGTGTGTGTGAGAGAGAGACCTGTCGGAGCTCGCTCACTGCCTGAATTCTGCCTTTTCGAAACAGGCTCCTTTCAGGGACTCCTCGGACCCTGTTGTGTATTTGTCTGTACGAGGAAACTGATTCCAAATTTGAAATTTGGAGGCGTGCTTTTTACGCAGACGGACCTGAGTCATCACTTTGCCTCACTGACTGAACTACTGTACAGAGAGAAGAGTTATTTTTATTCTCCTTTTCTCTGTCCTTTTTGGTGCAATGTTTTCAGACAGACTGGAAAGCAGAGAGCGTGTGTGTTTGTATGTGTGGGTATGTATATATAGGTGTGTGGGTGTGTTGCCATGACGGAAAGCACCCTTTTTTTTTCTAACACGGAGATGTGGAGACAACCTAAGATCTTTTTGCTAACATGCTCTCACGCGGGAGCCTAATAGAATGTGTGTCAACGTGTTCATCAGGCGATTCAGACGCAGGGTTGTAGCTCAAGTAGAGGAACACTTTGTTTGATAAAGCAGTACATCAACTTCTACCTGTTAAATATCATTGACTAGAATGACTGAGGTGCTGAACTCCTCTTTGTATCTGATATTATAAACCACAGAAAGTTTTCCGTTCAGAAAAAGCCCTTTCTCAAACAGATACATCCCTTTCTGCCCCTCTTTCTCCTTCTGTATCACCTTTATTTTATTCCTTTCTTTATCCTTTTTCTTGTCATGCTAACTTGTGTGTTTGTATCTGTTTGTAATATTATTTTATAATGTCAATTTTAAAATAGAGCATTTATAATAATGCAAGCTATTGGTTATGACTTGATTTGTTTTAATGAGGGGGTTTTTCTTATTTTTTTTAACAAGGGACTTTTATTTATCTGGACTAAGCATGTGCTTACATTTGGCATGCTATTCCTGTTCAATAACACTGAATTTGTGAGCATTTCAGATCTACTGACAGATTTTTTTGTTTGCAAACTTCATTTCTCGTATTAAAATCCCACAGAGACGGGGAATGCTTGGCTGTCGGAAATACAGATACTCTTCTGTTTGAGCTTGTTTTAAGCGCTAACAGAAGGGAGACCAGTTCATGTGTGGGACACGGTGGTGCAAGGCATGGCTGTTTCACAAATGTGTGCCTTTATCAGGGTTTGGCTGCAGGCAGTTTTTAAGCTACTTTAATGACTGACGAGGGCCGGGACAAGCAGAAATACAACGGTATTTATCAGCAGGCTGTAAAGTCAGTGTAAATTCAGATATACTGTAAAAAGAGGAAAATAATATTCTCTTTAAAGGATCATAGAAGTGTCACTGTTTATTGTATTATCTCAAAAGAAAGGACAGGTTTGATTGAGGTTTTAGTGATACGAAGTGTTCACTGGTGAGATAGAAGGAGAATCGTTAAGAATGACTACTGAGTGGGAACAGAGGGTGTGATAAAGAGTCACTGGCAGCTGCAGTCCAGTAGGACCCCACCTGCTCCCATTATTTTGGCTGGAGGCCGGGCTCCTAATGCCTTCTGTTTATGCAACATGGCACTTATATTGAGGAAGAGTGGCTGGAGGGCTCTTGGCTGGACATGTATATGGATGAACACTAACGATCTGTTATTGACTATATGATTGTCAAAATGCCCTCTAGACCTTTTTTGCCTCTACAGAAAAAAAGGTCTACACTGTACATCATTTTGCATTCACATGGGACTATTTAAAATAAAGGAAACACATTAATATAAGAATATATATATATAGATATATATATATATATATATATATATGAAACATTTACAAAATGAAAAATAAGTATACATTCCGAGGTAATTTCTGTGAAATTGTTTTGTAGAGAAAAGGTTTTAAGAATGTATTGTACTTTTATTTTCATTTGTTGTTTGTTTGTTTGTTTTTTGTTTTTGCAAATAAACTTTTATCCTTACATCTGGATAATATTTTAGTTTTTTTGTTGTGCGTTTATTTATGTTTTTGGAACCCTGGTCTCAATACAGAAAAAGTGACACAAAAGTAAAATAAAAATGTTATTTGTTTTTCTGACCACACGGTGGTGCTCGTCCCACACGGGCCGTGAAGTGGTAAAATGGAGACATGGAAATAACATTGCTCAACATATTTTGAGCAGAGGTAGGTTGATTCATTGCCAGAGAAATAAAGCTTACTACAGCTGACTTTTCCAGTTTTCAATTATTTCACGATTTATTTTTTTTAATGAACATCTATTTGTCAATATAAAGGATAAATAACATTTTCCCATTGCTATATTTTCTGTAAACTATAGTGTTCGAAGGATTTGCAAATTATATCTTTTTGTTATTATTTATATGCTACACATTTGTTTTTTGGGAAATCTACATGAACAAAACAGCCAGAGTATTACACATGAATTTGTCTGGGAAACGCTACTTTCAATACGCTACGATGACGTCAGTCAGGTGATGAAGCTTCCTCCGAAAAATGGTTTCTAATACGTCCAGAGAACTCATTGTGCATTGATCACATATCACACTGTGATCACATATGAGTGATATGTGAGAAGTGAAACATCATGACGCTAACATTAAAAAACTTCCCAGCAGAACTGACATTTAATCATTGACACGGTTGTGGCTTTCCTCTCTAGACCATGAGGTAAGCGCTGTCCACACCACAGCTAAACAAGGTCTGGATGAGGCAAGCGCTGACCCCTTGTGATCTCCTCTCCCGTGTCCCGTGTGTCTTCTGCTCTGACTAACAGCAAGAAATTGGGGAGTTTACATGTACTTTACTTTTTTCAGTTTCTATGACTGACTAATACAGACAGCATGATAATACGAGTGCATGTACATATCAGGACTGGGTTTTTCCACTTCAAGCACACAGACGATATGTCATGTAACATGTGGGTCTGTATATACAAGATAACATTTATTGCAGCCACTGTTGCGGTCCAGCAGGTACGTAGAGTGAGTCTTGTGCTTTAAACCCCTTATGTGTAATCGAGACACACCCTGCCTATGTGAGCGCAGACTAATGAGAAGCAGGTAGTAACAGGCCTATTTTTTATTAGTTCTGCTGAACTGGTGCTGAATGAGCAGAATGTACAGTGCACTACTAGTTAACCACTACAAAATCTCTCATTATTCGAGCTGTTGCAGTATTTCTGCCTTCCTTCCTGTTCTAAATAAGCTTAAAATGCAGTTTTCGGTGAAAACCCTAAACCTTGTACAGTCAAAAGTAAACTTTACTCCACCTCATATGGTATAAGTCTTACACCATTACTAGGCGCTCAGAGTATCTGTTACACTTACAGTGCAGTTGACTAATACGCAGTGAACAAGCCATGTACTTCTGAGTGAACGAGAGGAACTAACTAGGGACTGGATGATGTGCCATGTATCTGTTACAATAAATAGTATTTAATAATTTAATCATATTTAATAGTATTTTTGAGCTCTCGATTTGACAAAATAATATATTTATAAAATAATGTTCTCACAAAATATCTGAAACATTGTGTGATACTTGGATAATGGGCAAATGCAGTAGTAGGTCATACACGTCAGTGTTACGGTATCCCTCTTTCAGGGGAAATTAAGTTTACTTTTGTTTTCCAACTTAGGAGAGCTTTTAAGTGTGCTCTGATTGGCTGACGTGAGAGTCGGGCGTCTTCTGATTGGTGTTTGAGCTGCTTCCGCGTTGTCATTCAGCAGCAGTCCCTCCTCACGCACATCTGCAGCCGAGTCTCTCCGGTACACTGTACGTGACGACGAGCTGTGAGAGGAGAGCAGAGATATATATTCGAACTTTTCCACAATTATCTGCGCAAAAAACAAAGACTTTCTGTCTGTTGAGCGGCTACATGGAGCTATTTTATAAGTAAACTCGACTCTGGCTGTATTGAAATCGCGGAAGGACTGTTTTCATCTCTTAAAAGACAGGTTACCGGAGGAAAGTTTAAATCCCGGTGAGATCAGGGGGAAGGTGAGCCGGGTGCGACTTGAATCATCCTGGCTGTCCTTTTTGTAAATGAAATAGAGAGAGTTTTGATTCAGTCTGCTCTTTCTAACAACCAGGACTTTGTCTGCTGAAGGAGTTGTAGTATTTCGCCGTCCCACGCTGAACTCCACAGCATGTCTGACAAGTGTTGCGCTGTGTAACCAGTTCGTCCAGCTCGCCGAGGAGTTTCGTCAGCTGCTTCTCTGACTTTGCAGGTAAGCCGCTGAGGAGGTTCGCCTCTCTTCCAGAAGGTCTCTGTGAAGGCCGTTGGACGACAATGGCTGGCTTGAGCAATGCCCACATGAAAACCCTGGAGGACCTAACTCTGGACTCGGGCTACGGGGCGGGGGACTCTTGCAAATCCCTCAGCCTGTCCTCCTCAAAGTCAAACTCCCAGGCATTCATGACGGCCCCTCACCGGGGGAACTGGTGGTACTACTCCGGCTCCATGAATAGCAGGAACAACAGCTGGGACACTGTCAACACTGTCCTTCCAGAAGACCCAGAGGACATCTTCTCCAAGTGTCCACGCTTACCTGAACTGGAAGAGTTTCCATGGACTGAGGAGGAGGTGGCCAAAATACTGCGTAAAGTGGCCGAGAGTGGGAGCATGAAATGGGGGACTACACCTGTGTTCTCACCGGAGGCTGTGAGGCGGCTGTCCACCCTTCTCCGCAGGGCTCTGATCCGCATTTCCAGAGAGGCTCAGCGTCTCAGCGTCATGCACTGCCGCTGCACACGCTTCGAAGTGCAGAGTGCCATGAAGTTGGTGCTCAGCTGGGCCCTCGCCGACTACTGCGTCTCTGCTACAGTTAAGGCCATCTCCTTGTACAGCATGAGTGCCGGTGAACTATTGAGGAACGGCAAGTCCGCTCGCTGCGGCCTCTCCTTCTCTGTGGGACGCTTCTTCCGCTGGATGGTGGACACCCGCATCTCCGTGCGCATCCACGAGTATGCGGCCATATGCCTAACTGCATGCATGGAAGCTTTGGTGGAGGAGATAGGTGCCCGGGTGCTGATGGCCGAGAGGGGTCATTCAGGGCCTGATTTGGGGTCAGGGTGCACCACGGTGAGTGCAGAGGCCATGGAGGGGGTGGTCAACAATGACGCGGAGCTGTGGGGAGTCCTGCAACACTATGAGCACCTCATCTGCGGGAAGAACGCTAATGGTAAATATAAATGATGTATATAAAAGTGCATTTAAGTTAACAGTGCATAGCATAGAGTAAGGACCTTCAGTGAATGTTTTGTTGCATACTATTTTTTGTATCACATATTGGTCTTCCTGAGTGTTGATCACAACTTTCCACTCCCTCTGAGTCCTGGTGCTGGTGCTGATTACAACAGCAGCTTTTAGTGTGTGAGAATTTGATGTATTTGTTGCCAATTTGACTTGTCAGAGTAAGAAAATTGCCTCTAATGTGGGCAAAGAAGGCATTTTCTGTTCAACCAAAGTCACAAAACAACAAATTGCTGAGAAAAAAGACTCAACCAGCCAGATTGAGTCCTCACATGTCACTCTGGTGTTCTACTGTTGTGGTTTGGAGTGCAGAGAGCCTTCAGAGTCTAGGCAGGAGGCTTGTCTGTTGACATAGCTCTCTGTATGCGCTGACTTCACCTCTCAGCCTCTCGCTGTGTTGGCCACACTCCTTTAAAATCCTCCCTTTCTTCCATTTCCTCATCCTGTACTCCTGGTAGACAGATCTCTTTCACCCACCACCATCCCTGCATACTGTTTCTTACATCTCTCCCTCCTCTCTCCTCCAGCTACAGCTGTGCATCCTGCTCCCTGCCTATTTGTTTCCTCCACCCTCACATCCCTTCTGAATCAAGTCTCTTTCTCCGCCTTCTCTGTTGATCCCTAGTACACTCACAGTGCTCTTTCCATGACTGTTTTGGCAGCCCAGCGTTGAGTTGATGCATGAGCTTGTGTTGGGACAGTGTAACCAGCCTTTGTTTGTGGCCCACTACCAGCTCCCTGGAGCAGAGCTATTTTACTGCAGCACAATGGCCTTTTGTTGTGTGATCGTGCAGCTTAGTCAAACACAGAGGGAGTCAAAGCAAATGCTGAGGATGCATACACGCACCAAGGAACAATATACACAACTCAGAGAGAGAGAGAAAGAAAAAATAACTATAGATAGTCAATATTAAATACAATTATGAAGCACACTTGCACAATTATGTGCAAGTGTGCCGTGCATGTGGAGAAGACGCTAATGTAACACGGCCAACTTTTGAACTGAGATCAATGTGCTCGTAATAGATAGTACTTTCCCACATGCATGCACTCACATATTAACTGCTACCTTCCATTTCAAAGTCTGTACAGCTTCCAGTGGCTTCATCATTATATCTGCTCCATTTAAGCCTGCAAGTGCTATAAGCAGAACGTTGCTGTACATTAGACAGGCCTGTTGTTTGGTTTTACGTTTGAATTGTGGTGCTATTTCATAAAAAAGTTAAAAAGCAGCTTTTGTCACATTACTTCACCAGATGTCTTTAGCTTAGGTTTGGCCTATTTTGGTGAGTTTAGTCACTGGTCTTGAGAAAGACCATCGTGTGATGTGTGTGTGTGCATATAATAACAACAGACTATTATTCTGACCACCATAGCTTTTTATAGGGCTAAATCTGGGATATGGAAGCCACATACCCCTCTACCATCTTTCCACCTGACACCCTACACCCTAAACGGCAACCTCCTACTGCTGAGCAACATCCCCTCTTTTGCCTACCACCCA